CAGGCACCACAATTCACTTGGTGCCAAGTACCAAACACAACATTGTGTGTAGAGTGCCATTTGGGATATTAGGGTACTAGCCACTTGGGTAATATTTTCAAAGTGTTCCCATTGGCACCAGGAAGCCATCTGGAATGCTCATATTCTACAGCAAGAGAGAGGAAAACAAGTCTAGAAATGAAAAAGAGGGTAGAGGAATTGTGGGACCAATCGACGCCTGTATAGCGCAGATTCAGATAGTCTAGTCCATATTTACAGAATCAAGATTCTAGAACCATATATTTTGAAAACCAGAACCCCCAGGCTACACTCACACATTAAAATTGTAAAAGAAGAGTTTAAATAAAAAAATTAAAAGTAATACAGTTTTAGTGTGTGTGTGGGTTCCTGTGTTTGACTCTATTTCTCTCTCTCTCATGTCAATTTTCACATAGAAACTACTTTTCCCATCTTGTGTCTTATGAAAGGATTGAATCAACAGTGCCACATTTGAGGTGTCTTCTATCTTTCCTGACATTTCTCGCTACTTGTTTTAAGAGGCTGAGAAAGTGTAGGTAGATTCAATATCAGAAGAGAGTTTCAACCTATTGGTTATGTTTAGCACCTTTTGAAATGCTAGTATTCTGGAGCAAGGAGAAGAGAGATGCCTAGAAATCACACAGACTAGAAAAAAATCCATGAAGTCAAGAGAAAATGCATGGAGAGACATTGTAGAAGTCAATGAAAGAGAGCATTTTAAGGAAGGATACATGGAAAAGTGCTAGAGAGACTTTTTAAAGAATATTTTAAATCTAACTGGTTTTTATATGTTTCTTCATTATATAAACTGAAATAGTGTTTTAAAAAATTGTGGCTAAGCTTTTACATTTTTTCACTACTTCATCAGTCTCTGTTCACTAGAGTGAATCATATTGTGATGATTTGAAAGGAAAAGTTTTAGCAATTTTATTTTAGCTTGTGATCTCACAGGAGGAAAGTAACTCTCAGAGCAAAGCTTCATAGATTTAATAAAAGATAAACAATTCTTTCCATCAAAATTAATATCAAATATAACAGAACTCTAGGCCTAATAATTCATTTTAATATTAATATAAAATTAAGCACAATTTTAGTATGTTTTGGTATGTGAACATACTAAAGGATCAACAAATAAATAACACTTAGCTAAAACTTGAATTTAGCAAAGAAACTACGTTGAGAATTTACAGATGGATTTCTTTTTTTTTCCCATTTATTTATTTTATGGCATTTTAGGTTTTGGGGTACATGTGAAGAACATGCAAGATTGTTGCATAGGTATACACGTGGCAGTGTGATTTGCTGCCTTCCTCCCCATCACCTACATCTGGCATCTCTCCCCTTGCTATCTCTCCCCAACTCCCCACCCACCACCGTCCCTACCCTATTTCCCCCCAACTGACCCCAGTGTGTAGTACTGCCCTCCCTGTGTCCATGTGTTCTCATTGTTTAACACCCGCCTATGAGTGAGAACATGTGGTGTTTGATCTTCTGCTCTTCTGTCAGTTTGCTGAGAATGATGGTTTCCAGGTTCATCCATGTCCCTACAAAGGACACAAACTCATCGTTTTTGATGGCTGCATAATATTCCATGGTGTATATGTGCCACATTTTCCCTGTCCAGTCTATCATTGATGGGCATTTCGGTTGGTTCCAGGTCTTTGCTATTGTAAACAGTGCTGCAATGAACATTCGTGTGCACGTGTCCTTATAGTACAACGATTTATAATCCTTTGGGTATATGCTCAGTAATGGGATTGCTGGGTCAAATGGAATTTCTATTTCTAGTATTTCTATGTCATTTATATTAGAAAGCTCTTTTAAGCAGAAGAAACAAAATAGTCATTTAAAAGAAGCTGTGGAAAATGCAGTGCCTAACTTTACTGTGATGATTTTTGGAAGACGAAAAATATCCTAGTCATTAGTTATTTCCATGAAAAGTAAGTTGACATTCTTCTATTTAACAAAGGCTTTACTGAGCACCTACTATTAATTGGTCCTATTCTATACACATTGGGTTATAGTGGCACAGGGGAGGGAAAAAAATAAAGTAGAAAAGAAAGATCGAAAGTGGCAACAAAAGGAGTGGTGTTGCAGTTTTACATATGGGAGTCAGATAGGACTTCATTGAAAAGGTGACAGTAAAATACAAGCATTCAGAACATGTGAGGTTGAACCCTGAAGAACATTGATCCATGAAATTGGGAAGAGCATTCTAGGTAAATGGAGTAGCAGAGACAAAGGTTTTGAGGCAGCAACATGCCTGCCATATTCAAGAAACGTCAAGGAAGGCACTGAGCCTGGCATGGAGTGGGTAAGTGTTTGTGGTAGGAGATGAGGTTAAGAGATCAAGAGGACAGATTGATAGGGCCCCACAGGTCATTAACAAGTACCTTGGCTTTCATTGCAAGTGATATGAGACTCCTTCCCCAAAGGGATATGAAGAGGCGAATGACAGGATCTGACTTTTATTCTCAAAGGAACATTCTGGCTGCCAGTTTAGAAAGAGATTATAAAGTAGGGCAGAAGCAGGGACAACTGTTAAGAAACTACAGCGGTCATTTAAGTAAGAGATGCTGGTGACTTGCACCAAAAATGGTAGCAGTGAAGGAGAAAGTTGGTGTGATTCTGAATTTATTTTGAAAGCAGAATGACAGAAATTGCTGGTAAAATTGAAATAGCTTGTGGGGGAAGGAGAGGAGTCAAAACAACTCTAGGATTTTAACCTGACTTAACTAGAGAATGAAGGTGCTATTTATTGAGATGAAAAAGATGGCAAATGATGCAGGTTTAGAGGGGCAGTCATGAGAAGTTTGATTGGTGCATACTGTGTCTAAGATGCCAATTATACTTATACTAGAATTGTTGATAGTCAGCTGTACATACAACTCTGGATTTCAGATGAGATTTCCAAGCTTGAGTTGTAGATTTGGAAAAGAAAAACAAGTAAGTAATGTTTAAAGCCATGAATGAGGCTAGAGGTAGAAAAAGAGGAGAGGTCTAGGATTAAATTTTAGGGCAATAAATCTTTCAATGTTAAGAGATTAGGGAGAAGAGAGGAACTAGCAAGTAAGCTGAGAAGTCAGACTGAAACAAGTGTTACTACATCATTAATAATTCTTTTTTGAGAGCATTGGTAATGTACAGGTTCTCATGGTCCTAACTGTTTTTTCACTTTTTTCAGGGTCATTTGGTCGTTTTCTATTTACCTATAACTTAATCTCAGTCTTAAACTCCTGCTCTTTCCCATTCACTCCTTCTACCCCTGCTTCATGCTTGCATCACATTCATTTGGAATATCTTCATTGGTACTGTAACTTCATCGAGTGTAAAATACATTTTTGAAAAGTGTCAAAAGTAATTTGATGATTTATCTGGTGAATGAAATGGGTGACCAGGTTGGTTAATATTGCTTTTGATCAAAAATTAGGTGTGATCATTGAGTAATATCACCAAGTTTACTGTGTGGTTTATATGCCCAGTCTAAAAGCAATTTCATCAGACATGCTCTAAAATGTTTTGAGCAATGATAACATTACTGGAATTATTATATAATTTCTAAGGAGACTATGTTCAAGGCTAATTTTCATATATGATATACACATAAGTTCTGTAACTTAACAATATTTCTTAATATTCTATTGTTTTATCATATATGTTTATATAGTTACTTAAAGTCAGTCAAGATGCATGTAGCCATAAATAATGTCTAATTGAATCTTCATTTTACAATGTAAGAGTTTCTTTAAAAGCTGCTATTTTCATTTAAGATGCTTATCTAATAAAAAAAATGGAAAGTAATTGTTTTAATGAGTAAAAGATTTGCAAGAAAATGTTAAAATATTTGCCCAGGTATTACAAAAATTACTGATAGTGAGCACCAGAAGTTTGCAAACACACATTCTTGGATGTCTGACTAATAATGAATTTGCAATGAATGTATCCTCTTCAAATTATGCCAATTATTTGTTCACCAAACAAATATTTATTATATTAATATGTCATGGATGCATGTCATGTGGAGAAGAGTTTGCTTTTTTAGATCTTTCCAAATGCATCCTGGGAGGTTTATATGCACAAAGAAGAGAGGAAAAATTGTATTACTGACTTTCTCCACATCCGATACAGCCTCCTGGGGAATTATACCATGTGGAGAATCAGTTTTGTTTAGGCTCAAGGAAGATTGAAATAGTTGGTGAGGTTTAGTGTTTTTGTCTATGTTTGCTGTACCCTGACTCGGGCATTAGTCACTTAACGCTTTGACACAGAAAGCTTCTTCTCTTTCTTAAGGGTATTGCCCAATTACCATCTTTGCCTCTGACTTGCCCCAACCTTAAGTGGCATGTAATACAGAGTGGAACTTTTAGTTTTCCTTGGAGGCTAACTACAGATTTTGTTCTAGGTTCTGGGATGGGGAAACAGAAACAAAAATTGGGTTTCCATTCTCAAAATATTATTATTTTTTGAGGAGAAGGAAATAGGCATAAGGAATTACATCAGAATATGATAACTGTATGATGCTATAAACTCAATGTACAATGGGAGTTTGGGGGGAACCCTAAGACTTCTCGGTTTCACAGAAAAAGGTACTGGCATGATGCAAAGAGACGGAGCAAACGCCAACATGTTCAGCATGATGATATAGTTGGAAATTCCTGGGCTGTAGCCTTTTTTTTTTTTTTTTTACCCTTCAATCCTCCAGCTACTCCTGCTTTTCCAGAGCCTTTTCTCTAGTTTTTTTCCTGACATTTTGAATAAAGTTTAATGTTCATTCCAGGACTTTCCTTGTGAAGTATTTTAGAGCCTTCACCCCAATGATCACGATCATCCTGAGGCAAATATTGTAATTGGCTCATTGTTCCTTACTTAAACTTGGCCCAGATACCCATTCCTCTTGCTAATGTTGACACTAACTGCCCAAATGAGGTAAGTGATTTCTGAATGTCAGCTTACATGTTTCTTATTATACATAATAAACTTACAATGTTTTTCATGTGTTTCACTAGTATGGTCAGCTTCACATTGTGGTAGGATATGACTAACTGCACCTTAGGCTTCTCGTCCGGAAACTTCTCACCTGATAAAAGAACAGAATTTCAGTGAGTTCAGTTGGAAAAAGGTCAGCACAGGAGCAATTAAACATTTAAAACATAAACAGGACCAATAAATAGTAAGTAGAAGAAATGTTCTTCAGATAATGTTGAAGAATCTTAATGGTTTTCAGGAGGCAGAGTTGATTAGATAGAGACAGGATTTGTGTTGAAATGAGCTAACTCTTTCCCTAATAGTTCATATTGTGTTTTGATTGATACCACTATTTTCTCAACAACTGAAGCTTAAAACCTCAGTGTCATTTTTGGCTCTAATTTTTCTCCTTAGCATTCATTATAATGAGTTTAAAGTATTAGTGGTCATAGATCAGTGACCCTAAGGTTCAAGGCCCAGCACTACTATTCATGGCTGTGTCATCATGACCAAATTAATCAACTTTATATAAAATGGAAATAAAAATAGTTACTTTTTGAGATGGGTGGTTAAGATGATTAGCTGATAAAATTTAAAAGTTTTCACATAGTAAGTGCTCAGTAAATGCTTATAATTACTAATACTTTCTATATATTTGCATTAATCTCTTTTTTTTTCCATCCCATTGCACCTAATTCAAATTCATCTCAACCTTTTGCCTGAACTACTAGGAAATTCTCTCACTCCTCTTATCCCTTGCACAGAATCCAAATCTAATTGTATATCATTACCAATGCAAGTTTCAGGCAGTAACTTTTATACAATTATGTTTTGATCAAAATACCTTTCATAGATTTCCATATGAAAAAAGGTCTAAATTTCTCAGCCTTGTATTGTAACTTCTTAGTATTGTTTTAGTTCTCACTTTTATTCTATACTTTCATTCATGTTTAGTTCTACAAACATGCTCTACTATTTCTTCCTAGTAGTTTCTCATATTATTCCTTTCAATTAAAATGATCTTGTTGACCATTTTTGTCTATTGAACTTCTACCTTTCTTCAAAGCTTAATTAAAATGCAATACAGTTTGTGTGGTCATCTGTCTCTGAACTCTCCTCACACAGCCCTTATCACGGAATATTGACATTGCAATTATTATACAAGTCACAATTTGTTTAGGGGATTATAATCTATCTCAGTGCTTATTTTTACCCCTGTATCCCCAAGGTGTGTAAGTCAATGATTACTCCACAATGTGTACATTAAACATTTATTTAATAACAAAAGTAACCTTAATTTTTCTTTTAAGTAGTATCACATCATTAAAATGAGAATTTGTTTTTTTAAATTAAAAATTTATTGCTTACTGCCCAAAGATTAAACATAATTTATAGTTTTACTAATATTTCCCTTAAATTTTCTGGTTGTATGTTGTCTGGGGGGAATTTAGAGAGCAATTTATTAATAACAAAGAGTTTGTCAATGGTTATCATAGTCAATCCTAACCTTCTAATGTACTCTAATGTTTGAATTTTTTTTTTGAGATGGAGTTTCACTCATGTTACCCAGGCTGGAGTGCAATGGCGCGATCTCGGCTCACCGCAACCTCCGCCTTCCTGGGTTCAGGCAATTCTCCTGCCTCAGCCTCCTGAGTAGCTGGGATTACAGGCATGCACCACCATGCCCAGCTAATTTTTTGTATTTTTAGTAGAGACGGGGTTTCACCATGTTGACCAGGATGGTCTCGATCTCTTGACCTTGTGATCCACCCGCCTCGGCCTCCCAAAGTGCTGGGATTACAGGCTTGAGCCACCGCGCCCGGCCATGTTTGAATATTATACCTGAGCAGTGTAGTTATACCTGATCAGTAAATTTTCAAATACATAACTTTCAAAGCTTTCTATATGTTTTTTTGAGTAGTTTATACATTGTATGAGGTGATATTAATTAATTTTATTGTTAATAATGTGGATTTCTGACTTTGAAAAGGTTTCTTTTTACAATTGAAATGGTAATATGACAAAAAATCACTTATAATATCTTGAACGATAACTGGAAGACACTGTGAGTTAGAGACACTATGGAGTTAATTCTCAGTAAGACTGAAATAAATTGCATTTCATAATAAAAAGATGTTTGGTATAAAGGTGCTAAAATGCTGATGATATTTTGATGCACAATGAACATTATATTTGAATTAAAGGGTGGAAGAATTATTAATTAAACACCTAATGTATTTAATCAGAGAAGTTTTAATTCAAGGGTAGAAAATTAACATAAATTTATGATTGACTGCCTAAATAGTAAAGGTACAATTGCCACTTGAACTGACTGAAGATGATATTCTCTGTTCAACTTCTTTTGCAAGATTAGTAACCAAAGTATCAATCAAAACATGCCAGAATTCAGAACCCAGTGAAAATTCACACCACTAAAAATCGACACTCATTAGTCAATGTAGCAGTGGTAGAGAGGCTTAATAGTTCTATAATGTTGACTGTGTGCCTGGCTAAGAGGTTCACGTACAGTTACCCATTCAATCATCATACCAAATCTATGAAATTTGTATTATCTCCATTTTACACATGAGGAAACTCAGGCACTTGGTCCAAGGTCATAGAGACAATAAATAGTACAGGTTTAGTGATCTCCAAAGTCTGTGTTTATAAGCATCATGCTGTAGAGAATCAAGAAAGGAAGCTACAACATAGGAAAAACAGCTTAAATGAACAACTCAAGAGGGACATTTGTGAAGAGCTTAATATGCTCAAGAAGACGTTAGGATATTTTGGTCTTCTGTTTCAAGTTAATCTGAGGGATTCGACTATGCTTAGATTAACCATTTATAGTAACCCCAAGAGCTGTTAAAATATTTTTGATATTAAGGATGATTGTGTTGAGATGCTTGAGTGTATGGTACTACAGCAGCTAATACATTGCTTACTATGCATAATGTGTCTACTGGCACTTGAAAATGGTATTTCAAAATTTCACTTTTTTCAGATGATATATTCATATGAAAAAAAATTTAAGTACACGATGAAAAGTCTTCCTAACATCTATCTACCCAGTTCCCCCATCATTATTTTATGATTTTCTAATATATGTCTCCAGAGGGATACATTTTTGGGGGGAGTTGCTTCATATGGCAAATATAGATAAATATTTCTATTTTACTCTTTTTAATAAGCATAGCTTATTCATTATTCTCCATAAAGATCTTGGAGATATTTTCACGTCAGTAATACATATCATTTTTATTTTTTAAAATACAGGTTCATAGTATTCCATTATATGAAAGTACTATTATTTATTTAACCTGTGGTTAATTCATGGGCAGGAGGATTGTTTCCAATGTTTTGCAGCTATTAAAAATCATGTTACATGAATAGTTTTGGACATGCATCATTCTGTACCCATGCACAAATATCACAGGATAAACTTCAAACATCAGAATTGAAGGTCAAAGGGTATTAGCATTTGTAATTTTGACGACTATTGCCAATTGCCTTCCATGCAGTTTCTAGCAATTTGCATTATCACTAGCAGTGTATGAGTGCCTGCTGATTTATAACCAAGCTTGTTAATTAAATTTTTGGGGTTTTGCCAATCTGATTAGAAAAAGAAATGGAATCAGTGTAATTTAATTTGCATTTATCTGAGTGAGGTTTAGTATCTTTTCACTTGGTTAAGAGCCACTTACATTTTCCTTTTTGTGGATTATCTTTTTATATTATTTACTCAATTTTTTATTTGATTGTTGATCTTTTTCTTATCATGTTCTACATGATAGCTAGGTGTTAGATAACAAATCCTCTGTCTGTAATGAATTGCAAAAATTTCACCAGTTTTGTCATTTATCTTTGTATTTTGTTTTAACTTTGCTATAGTGTTTTATGGCATGCAGGGTTGTTATGGCTTCTGGATTTGGAGCCATAGCTATAGCAATTCATTTAAAAATTATAAAGGAATTTTCCATGTTTTCATTGTCACATGTGTGATTTCATTACTTATTTTTAAAATATTTCCTCCATTTGTTACTTATCCTGATATATGGTATGAAGTGTAGTATCCCAACACCATTTTTTGAATTTTCCCTTACTGTTTTGTTCAAGTACTAAACTCCTGATTGTATTTGGTCATACAGGTACTTTTGAAAATCCTATTATGTTGCATTTCTTCATTTATTTATGCATTGACACAGCATTGTTTTAATTATTGAGGTTTTAGAATGTGTTTTGATATATTGTGGGGCTTGTCTTCACTCATTGCTCTGCTTTCACTAAATTTTTTCTGTTTTTTCTTTATTTTATTTGTTTATGAACTGTAGAATTAGTTTATCTACTTGGAAGAAAACCCATTAATATTTTTTAAAAATTATATTACATTTCAAAATTAATTGGAAATACATAACATCTTTAAGATGTTGAATTTTTCTACCCAAGAGGATGTCTATAATAAATAATTCAATAAAAGTATCAAATACAAAACTGATATATAGATATTAATTATATATTACATATAGATACAAATATACTATATAAAATATGTATTTTATATATGTATATAAAAACCATTTATTGAACAAGGCGTCCTTTCCCCTCACTTTTTTTTTTTTGGCTCTATGGAAGATCAGATGACTGTAGGTGTGCAGCTTTATGTCCTTAGTTTATATTCCCACTAGCAGTGTAGCAGTGTTCCCTGATTGCCACATCCATGCCAACATCTACTGTTTTCTGATTTTTTTTATTATGGGCATTCTTGCAGGAGTCAGGTGGTATTGCATTGTGGTTTTGATTTGCATTTCCCTGATCATTAGTGACGGTGAGTATTTTTTTTACATTTGTTGGCCATTTGTATATCTTCTTTTGAAAATTGTCTATTCATGTCCTTAGCCCACTTTTTGGTGGGATTGCTTTGTTTTTCTTACTGATTTGAGTTCATTGTAGATTCTGGATATTAGTTCTTTGTCAGATATATAGATTGTGAAGATTTGCTCCTACTCTGTGGGTTGTCTGTTTACTCTGCTGACTGTTCTTTTTGCTGTACAAAAGCACTTTAGTTTAATTAGGTCCGGGCTATTTATCTTTGTTTTTATTGCATTTGCTTTT